GGACTGCCAAAAAAAATCATTATGTTCATCAAGAATATAATTTTTGAAAGGAATGTGACATTTTGCACATTGACTGAAATTATAAATAAAACGGTCGACAAAGGTCTTCCTCAAGGCTCCGTATTAAGTCCATTATTATATGCAATATACACAAGGAAAATCAACCAATGTATAAGTAAGTCCATCACGACACTACAGTTTGCAGACGATATTGTTATTTATAATAAAGAACAAATGCATCACGAAGAACAGAGTAGATTCCTTGAAGAAGAAAGCTCTAAGCTTGTAAATCACCTTAAAGATAGAGGACTAGAGGTAGCACCGGAGAAATGCGTCTTCATCATTTTTGATAAACTATCTAAACGTACAAAAAATTTAACAATCAAAATCAACAACTTGTCGATCAAACCATCAAAAGACGTCAAATTTTTAGGTATGCTTCTTGACCAACACTTAGACTGGCATAAACATACTGATAACTTGATTAACAGATGTAAATACAATATAAGGATAATTAGTTTTTTAAGGTCTACTTGGTGGGGTGCGAACCCAGAATCTTTGTTAACTTTGTACATAATGTTAATTCGGTCTAAGATAGAATACGGCGGGTTTTTAATATTCCCGAGTGACAGTAGAATCATAGACAAAATTCAAAAAACACAGAATATGGCTATTAGAATAGCTATGGGGTACCGAAACAGCACTCCAATAAATGTTTTGGTTGCTGAATCTGGGATTCCATACATAAAGTGCAGGCTAAAATTTATATGCTATAAATATCTCCTCAGGTCATTGGCCAACGAGCAAAATTTAATTTTGGACAATTTAGAAAAACTCACGGAACTTAGTGAAAATTTCATGTTTACTCACAATTTTTCCCCATCGCTCATGATGGAATGCTACTCCGAAGTTTGGTTCTTAAAAGATTCTATTTATTGCTCAAATAAACACTTCAAGTACACCAGTGATTTCTTTGACAATTTTTTTATACCTAATATTGTTTTGGATAGCGGGAGAAAAATTTCCAAGGACATCACACCAAATGATGCTTTCAATAAAATGTATTCAGAGCGTAACTGCGTGAACATATTCACAGACGGATCTAAAATCATTAACGGTGAAAGTTCGCGGGTGGGTTTTGCCGCTTGGAGCTCAAATCCGGAATATTGCCTCGCACATCGAATCTCAGATTCAGCATCCATATTCACTGCGGAATGCAGTGCTTTATTATTAGTTATTAAAAAAATCATTACCAAAGGTCAAGGTACATATTCAATATTTTCTGATTCCGAGAGCGCCTTGAAAGCTCTGAGCTTCTTTACATCTAATTCTATATTAATTAACAAAATTAGACAAAAACTAGCTTTAGCCTATAAGTTAAATATTGTTATTAAGCTTGTCTGGATACCTTCCCACGTGGGAATTCAAGGTAATGAAAAAGCGGATTCGCTGGCAAAATCGGCAGCTATGAGCGAGAACCTTCTTGATAGACCAATCCCAGTGACGGACTTTACAATTGACTTTAAACGTAAATGTAATGAAGAGAACAAGACAATTTGCATTAATTTAAGTGATACTAAAGGTACCTTCTACTTTGGAAATTTCTATTCTGGAAAGATAAAACCGTGGTTTGCTGGTCTTGGTTTGCCAAGAAAGATCATCGTCTCAATAAACAGATTGAGAAGTAATCACTCTTCTCTTAAAACCAGCCTCTTTAGAAAAGGTATTGTTAATGAAACTCTTTGTACATGTGGTCAAAGCGACGACTCGCTTGATCACATTTTCTGGGAATGCGAATTATTTGCAGAACCGAGGAAAATCCTATGTGATAATTTAAGGAGCGCTGGCAAAGTCAGTCCATACAATGTGATATCGCTGCTTAAATGCGATAATAGAAACATTATCTATTTTATAGGAAAATTTCTTTATGATATCGAATGTAAAATTTAATATACGGATACTAAGTATTATAGATTTAAGCTTAATTATAAGAATCAATATGTAATATAAATATACGTTTGTATTTCGCGCTATTTTGTATTATACGTGGCTATGTACAAATTTCTTTGTGTTGCCAATAAAACTATATTCAAGTCAAGTCAAGTCGTCTGGTTAAATACCACATGGCCACGCCGGACTCTTCTAAACATGTGCTCGAGTCTCTCCGACCAAATGCAACAGTATTGTTGTTGTTTATTTAAAATCGAATCAAAATGGGTAAGAAAAAAGGATTCAATGCCAGGGCGAGGAGAGTCGCCAATATCGAGGTCGACGACTCGACGACGAAAAATGTAAGCCTACTCCGATCGACTTTGTCGCTCGATTTTCAATCGTCAATCGACAACTGTTTACGGATAATGAAACTTCACGCTCGTTTTTTTTTTTTTTTTTTTTTTGCAGATCAACCTGGACTTGGATCATCGACAAGAGCAATACGATGCGTGCAACGCATTAATAATTAATAATTAAGATTTAATTATAAAATTAGTTGTATTTTAATTATAATCATATTGATATTATCTTTATTGTTTAAATAATGAAAGGCGTTACAGTGACTTCAGATCTGATATCTTTTCATCTGAAGTTTTCACATATTTAGTACAATTCAATCATTGTTATAATGTATTTTTTACATTTTGCCAGTTGATTATTATTAAATTTGATCAATTTCTAGATAGTATCTTTATTTACTTTGCTCAATTTTCGCCTATCACGATTCTAATGAATAAAAAGTAAGGGCTAATGTAATCTAGAAATAGGACGAAATACCTTATTTCTGTAGTTTTTTAATGTAAATTTAATGCATGCGATATTCCATACTTTGCCTCGAACTCTTTTGCGTTCCTGCGAATTGTCGCGATCGCGCGTGGATGGATCTCCTTATCGAATTAGTCTGCATTTTGAATATAATAAAAAAATCCGTTTACGAGTCACTCCACGATTGCCCGCAGAAATATACCGCATATTTTGGACAAAAGCAAGCTGGGCCGAATGAAAAAAAAAAAAAATATGGTCCGCCTCGGGGGCAACTTTACGGACGAGATATGTATATAAATACGGCTTGTAACGGTACTCCGGGGCCCAAGTCATATTTTGACGGACACAATACCGATAATTTTCACTTCGAAAATAAAAAGATGGGCCCCGTCGTCTCATTCTCTCTCTCTCTCTCTCTCTTTTCCTTTGCCAGTATATACGTATTTAACAGTTATATATTGCAGTTTTGGCCGCTTTGCAATCATTATTTTTTCGGCACATGTATAATTCACGCAGTCGTATTATATATATACGTATAGAGCAGCTTCGCGTCACGTCTGTTGTAGTACGCGTATACACCTCGAGGCAAGTTCATTGCGCGTTCGGCGGAAGAATTTATACATCGCATATTTCTTTTTCTTTTTTTTTTGTTTTCGCGAGTTTGTTTCACTGCGCTAACACATACACACACATACACAGACACACATATAATATATATATATATATAAATATAAAAAATAAAGCCCGGGGCCCGCCGCTCTGGGAAAGTCCGCGCGCGATCGGCTCGATCGCCGGGGTACATTATAACAGCCGGGCCGTGATCTCTTCGACGTGGGGGCGAGTCGAGGCTGTTATAAGCAGCGCAAGGTCATGAAAGATGACTCGAACTGATCTTTCTCTCTGTTTCTGTGTATATAAGTATAAGTACAACCGCGTGATTTCGCGTAAATTTAGAGCTGTCTTGCGTGTCGTCGCCATGGGCACAGCAGCTTTTATCATTTTTTTTTTCTTCGCTTCGTCCTTATGCGTTATATATTTTCCCTCCTACAATTTTTTTCGTTCTTCCTCGTCTTCGTCTTCGTGCGTTCGCTCTTGCTCGAAACGTTTGACGTTAATTTTTCGGCATACATTATCGGAAAGATTTTTTTAAACGGACTTCGCTCTCGCGAGCCTTTGCGTTTACCAATGAAAATTAAGGAAAGAAGTAAGTAAGTAAACGAAGTACGATTCGTCTACATCGATGATTAGACTATGGATTTGAATAAATTTATACGCGAGCAACGCCAACAACTGCTTCGTTGCATAAAATTATCTCTCGCTCTCTGTGTTTCCGTGAGATGACCTCGTTTACACAGAGACACGTAGCTACAAAGGATGTTAAGAGAGAGAGCGAGAGAAAAAAAAAGGACGTAGGTATATAGTTCATTTGGGGTTGGGTATATATATAAAGCACATGCATATATATATAGCTCTGCGAGCGAGAGAGAGAAAGAGAGCTGAACCGAGAGCCCTCGGGGGTGCCGATCCAGAAATGGAATATAATCAGTCGCTGCTGCGCGAGCTACATAGCAGCTCGGCAGCAGCGCTGCAGGTTCACTCGAGGGACGACAGCCGGAGGGCCTTGCGCTGCGAGTAGTATAGGTATATATACGAGAGAGAGTAAGGTAGGGAGGGAAAGAGGGAGGAATATACCTACACACAGAGGCAGCTAGAAAGCTTCGAGCTAACGCGAATGGCCTGGAGGCATGGCAGCGCAGCGCGGATATTGAGTTCGCTGGCTGCTGCCGCTGATGCCGCCAGCGAGTAGAGAGAGAGAGTAACCATGACGACGACGACGACGACGAGCTTGGCTTCGGCTGCCAGCCGGTGAGGCCCCCCCGAGGCACAACGCCGTTCGTTACAACGAGCCACGACGGCTGCCGCTGCTGCGGTACTTTTTTTTTACGTACATACCTGCTCCAGGTGCGTCTTCGAGGAGGCGANCTCGGGGCCTTTTTTTTTTTTTTTTTTTTTTACCAAGATTTTGTCAGAACGATCGTCGCGCGTATGCACATATAAGTAAAAATCTCTCCGCAAGCTGCGCGGAATGTTAATCGTATGAACTTGCGATAACGAGTTCGAGTACGACCGATCGGTATGGGATTCGGAAATGAATGCGATTCGTTCGTCGTGTTGTTACTTTTTTGATTAATAAATACTTTTGTTTATTCGTGAATTTCAATTTTTTTACACGCGCGTATTGCAAGAGATACAACGCCGACTTTCTTCTTCGTCTGCTTTTGTATAGTAATTTATAGTGGACACTTTCATTAGTTTATTTAAGAAAAGAATAAATTATAAATAAGTCGTTTCGCGCTTGGCGTATTTCACTATTCTGTTTTTTGTTATCGTCAAAAAACTTCAACGTTACAATCAATTTTTTTTTATTATCAACAGTCCCTTTCTCGGAGCTGTGCAAATTTTCAATCTTTACACAGGATTGAATAATAGTTTTTCGTTCCTTTTTTTTTTAATTTTCTTAAGACATATATACAAGATTGTTATTTTCAAGTTCATAATTATAGAATTCGTTCGTTCGTTCGTTTTTTTCCTTTCTTTTTTTTTTTTACAAAATGTACAACAGTATAGATAGCGATGATTTTCAGCTTGATTTTTTATTACCCGACACACAAAAAAACTCGAAGAGAGAAAAATTTTACTCTGCATCAATTACACCAAGTCAACCTTGCTGGTAATTACATCGTAATACAGAAATCTTCGATTAACGCGAATAAAGCGAGCAGTGAGTCTCGCTTGACATTTAATTGAAAATCGTTGACGATAATCGTCATAATACGCGCGCATCAGCATCGATGCAGATGTGATAATTTAGCGCTCGTCCAACTCGAGCAAAATTATAGAAATAACGATTCGTTTTCTGCGTATATAATAAATAACGAGCGAGACGCGATTCGTGGATGGACAGCTTATTACATTTATCATATTATATTTATATCGACGGTAGATCGCGTCCTGCCTTTTGTATAATATATTTCATATTATAATAACTATATATAGATAATATATTTATGTATACGATTAGAGACTTTCATTGTTTTTTTGTTGTTGTTGTCAATTAGCCGTCGTGCGCATATATGCGAAAAATCGACATTGATATTGACTCGAGGCTACATACGTTGAAAAATCATATATAATAATATTTACAGCAAATTACGTTTTACGAGGCCTCGGCGGCCTTGGCTACTCGCGATCATCAATCGCTGAAAGGACTTCGCGCTGCGGCGGCGGCGGCAGCTGCCCTCAGAGTCACGCGATTATTGTTGATGATCTTTCTCGGCGGCGATGTGCAGCAGAATTCGGTACAGCAGCAGCTGCTGCTGCTGCCGCTGTCGTTGGTGTTACTCGAGGCGCGTCAGGTGTTGCCGGCGGCTGCAGCCTGTTGTTGGTGGCTCGTCGCGTTTCTCGGCGGAGGAGAAGAAGACGAAGGAGAGGAGGAGGAGGAGGAGGAAGAGGCGGCGGTCTGCCTGACGAACAGATACTCGGAGAACTGCTGGCCCTCGACGCCGCCGCCGTTGCTCGCCGCGACCCTAAAGCCGGCGTTGAGCAGCCTCGTGATCGCCTGGACGCTGTTGAGCTTGCAGTAGCCGTTGAGGGGGAAGCGTATGACGTGGCGGGCGTCCTGCTGGTGCCAGGCGACGCCCGAGCGCGCCTCGAGGACGGCCTGCGTCGTCTCGGGGAAGACCTCGTCGAGGAGGGCTCGGCCGCCGGACAGCATCACCCGCTCGCCGAGGTCCGGACTGATGTGGAGCGCGACGCACTCGTAGCTCTCGGCGCGTCGCAGCAGCTGATGATGATGATGCTGATGCTTGCCGTCCGGATGATGGCCTCGGACGTCGTCGGGCTGCGTCACGTTGTTCACGGCTCGATGATGATGATGATGCGGATGGTGGTGGTGATGGTGAGCCTCGGGAGGCGGCGGGCTTGATATCAGCCTACTGCCGCCGCTGCTCTTGATTCGGATCAGCTCCTTCTTCATCTGCTCGAGTTGTCGTATCATGGCTGCGTTCAAAAGAATAGGTCATCGATGATTTTATTTTCTCTTCTTTGTATATACGTTGAATCGTACTCACGAGCAATGTCAAAGTATCGGGCCTCCTCGAGTAGCAGATCGAGATCGGAAAAGTTTTCGGGCACGAGGAGGCGCGAGTTCCTCATGAAGTTGAGTATGTGGCGAAACATGCCGCCGTCCCGGTCGATGAAGTAGTGCTGCTTCAGCGAGTCCAGCACGATGGGTATGCTGCCGTTGAACAGCTTGGCCAGTCTCGAGTCCGGATATCTATGCAAAAGAAATCGCATTCGTAAATCATCATTTTTATATCATGCGTCGCGCAGTAGTACAATCTTGGTCGCATATTTAATATATATAATTTATAATATAATATGGGAAAACAAAGCGCGCGGGAATACGAATTTTCCGAGTCTTTATCGAGCGAGATTCTCTCTCTCTCTCTCTCTCGTCTTATACTCGTTACAGAGGTGGAAACCACCGCGGGAGTGTACCTACGTGTATATATATATGCGCGCGCCCTGGCACATACACAGGGCAAAACTAGAGAAGAGAGGAGGCAAGTTGCGATCTAGCCCGAAGGTGTAGTAGAGGTATAAAAAAAAACAAAAAAAAAAAAAAAAAACAACAAAGGTAGAGCGTACACCGCTGCAGCATCGCGCGCGCACAGCAACTGCCTTCGGGCCAAACACAATGTCTGTGTGCCTGGTGTGTATATATATCTATATATGGGGCGCTGTAAGCATGTTACATATAGATACAGCTTTTACACTGGCAGGTAGAGAGCCGAGCCGAGTCGAGTCGAGCTTCGCAGCGCTTGGAAAAGCCCCGGGCCACACGACGGGCGCGCGCGAGAGAGAGGCCGTCATTATTATATACTCTATCTCGCGTTCTCGCGAGCGAGCTGAGCTGCAGCGCCGCAGAGAAAGAGAGAGAGAGAGAGAGAGACGAGGAGAGCTTTAGTGCTGCGAGAGAGTGAGAGAGAGAGAGAAAGAGGAGGCGGAGGTCGGTATGGGAACCGGCCCCGGGCCAGAGACACGTATATATACATCTACCACCTACCTACCTACCTACCTACCTTTGAGCTCTGTGTGCGTCTGTATTTGTGTATATACAGGGCAGATACGTATGTATATGTAATACGCGGCGCAACGATGTACGTATAGGAGGAAAAATCGTGATGTAACCGGCAAAGTCGAATTCGAGCGCCTGTGTATATGTATGAGGTATACGGTGCATACCGCGCGTGGGTGCACGAGTATAAATCGCGATCATGCGCCAATTCCGAATTGTTAGGAGAATTATTATTCGAGAGCTGTGCGAGTAGCACCATATATATATCGTCGACGTGTTTTCGAGCCTGACTTTTCTTCTAACGTATAGCTTGGATGATTATAAATTGGATGTTGTTTAGTCATTAAAAATTACACTGAATACTTTGAAGATACTCGACGACGATTACAATGATTCAATATTTTTATATCAATTATTTTTATATCGAAGCCGATATAAGCGAACTTTTAATCTTTTTTAATTTTCTAATCAACGTTGAATATTATGATTTGTTTTTTGGTATTGAATTCAGAATTTTGTTACAACGTTTTCACTGCAACATTACGTAAGATGAATATGATAAGAGAACGAGATAAAACGTTATTAATTGCCAAATAAAAAAAGATAACATTTGATCGTTTGTGCGCAACGAAAACATTCTCACGAATATCTAATGAACTTGGCACGAGTCAGTCAAAGCGTGTAACTCAGTTCGAAAAATTTTCTCCCGAAATGCAGTGCGATTTGAAAGAGTTGGCCGGCGAAAAAGTGCACGAGAGGGTGCGAACCAGTTTCGCGGAATTCGACGGCGTTTTTTTACCCGAGGAGTACGAAAAAATAGTCGCGGATGTGGACGCTTTCGAGGTATACGACAGCGATTTTTGGGTCTGTAGTTTTCAAAAGTCAGGTAAATGTTTGTTAAATAAAATGTGTTTTCACGCGTATAACTTGCTATATTTTGTCAACTTATAAGGAACTACGTGGACCCAAGAAATGGTTTGGTGCATCGTCAACGACTTGGATTTTGAAAAAGCCAAAGTGCCCATCAGTGAAAGATTCCCATATCTAGAGTACATTGCTAATATTCAAATTATTTATTCAATGAATAAGTAATCAAGTACTTAATATTATTTTTAGATTTTCTGGAATCGTTGGATCATCGCGAATAGCCACAAATTACGCCCGCGAAAATCAGAACCTACCAAAGTACTTGATGAGCAGCGTCGAGTACTGTAACGAACTGACCCATCCCAGATTCATCAAGAGTCACAACCCACTGAATCTTCTACCGAATGACATAAGGGACGGCGCGAAAAAGCCGAAAATCATTTACGTCGCGCGAAACCCCAAGGACGTGTGCGTCTCGTTTTATCATCATTCGAAGCTGTTCGACGGTTTTCAGGGCAGCTTCGATGAACTTTGCCGATTGTTTTTGGACGACGCGGGTGAGGGTTAAATAACAGTGGGATTGTTCAACATTGAAAGTTGATCGTAATTTTTTTTGACATTTTTATACAGTCATTTACGCTCCTTACTGGAACCACGTGCGACAGTTCTGGAACAAAAGACACGACGAGAACGTTCTCTTCGTCACGTACGAAGAAATGAAGAAGGTAACACGAATAACGTTCAACACTGATAACGACAAACATTTATAATATCTTTGCGCAGGATATTACATCTGTCATCAAGAAAACAGCCAAATTCTTGAATAAAGATCTGAACGACGAGGAAATCCAACGACTCGCGCAGCACCTGAGCTTCGAGAGCATGAAAAAGAATCCAGCGGTCAATAGAGAGGTCAACATCAAATGGATGAAGAGCCAATCAAAGGTGGATGGCGAATTCATGAGGAGCGGAACCGTAGGTCAATGGAAAGAAACGATGAGCGAAGAAATGATCGAGAAATTCGACGCGTGGATAATTGAGAATTTGAAGCAGTGCAAGGGATTGGAGTTTTGAAATACTCATCTCGTGATTAGATATAATAGAAGAGAAATAATTTTTGAAACAAAGAATTATTCATATTAATTTTAAGATTTATTTATGTATTAGGAGCAAGGGAATGAAGCAATCAATAAAATATTAATTAAGTGCAAAACTACACGAAGAAGGGTACCTACTTAATGTTTCAATTAATTATATTTTAACTTAAATTTTAAATGATAAATTACTTTTTTTCATAAAATCATTGTTCTATTTATTTCAACTACACTGGTGATCGATGGTCAATCAAATTATCTAAGTCACGTTATCACTCATGAGATCAAGCGAGTTCATTATTGACTTACTTGGCTTTTGTCTAACGAAAAATCTGTAAAATTTGGCTGCAGAACAACATCGATCGTTATGTATACGTTTTGCCAGTATACACGTTTTACGACTGTACTATGTATAATTTAGCTGGATTTTCTATACATACGAGTATACACGAAGCCATATACGCGCATATATAGGTGTGGTGCGGAGCAGTGCATCTATCTATATATGTAGGCGAGCATTTTGCGAGCGCTACACATAGGATATAGCGCCTTTGGGCTATCGGAACATCGCTCGAAAGAGAGAGAGAGAGAGAGAGAGAGAGAGAGAGAGAGAGAGAAATCCTATGCTGACTCTGCGCGCGGCTATTGTGCGCGAAAGGGGAGGCATTATAAAACCCTACGGAGCCAAGCCATATTACAGGCCCAAAGGCTCCGAGGCGATTTGTATACTGCACATAGAGCACACACACACACACACACACACATACACATATAGACGGGAAAATTTATGCCGTGTTGTTAAAAAGGATTGATGCCTCGGCGTCATCTCTATTCCCGATGGTAATTTGCTCCGCGTCCATCAAAGTCCTCGCAGAGATAAAGCGCATTTTTTTCGCTCTCTCTCCATCTCTCTCGTTTTCTCTATTCCGGATGAACTAAATACGCGTGCCGAAAGGGCTTACAATCGTCTCCTCGATGATTAAAAAGGCATCGCCGGCTCGAGTACAAAAGAAAATTATATAATTAATCGGAGTGCGTGAGAATGGACTTTGAGAAAAAAGAAAGAATTATATGGAGCAATATTGATTCTTCCGGTATCTGGACACTAAACTATGCAACGTCGAAGTAAACTAAACACTCAAAAAGTAGAAAAAATTCAAAAACATAAATCAATAGTTAAGATAAATCATTAATCACAAGCACCGATGTTTCACATCTGATGCATCAGAATGAGTGCTTAGTCTTAAATACAGAGTAATTCCTTAAGAATAATTGCACCAGATGGGAAGCATTGATGCTTTTGTAGGGATTTTCTCAGTTTTTAACTTTTTTCTTGATTTTTTTAGTTTCTAATTTGGTTTTTTTGTTTTAACTATTGATTTATGTTTTTGGATTTTTTTCTAGTTTTTTACTTATTTGATTTTCTTTATTATTACTTATTTGATCGATTAATTTTCTTGTTTTTATTTCATTTAACTTTGAATTTTGAAATCTTTAATTAATTGATAATGATGTTTCATTGTTTCTAAATTATTTGATTTTTTCATTGATTTTTGTGATTATTTAATTTTCGTAGCTTTTTTGTAGCTCTTTTTTTATTCAAAATAATTTTCAAATCATAATATTTTAAAGGTTTTTTTTCGAATTTTTATCGATGAATTAAAATATTAACATAGCGCATCCGCATATCATCGTTGGATATGGATATGACATAAAAACATTGCCTTTTTCGAAGAAGTCATCGTTGCAAAACGAAAAAGTTTCTGCTGGGGGATTCATGAAAAATAGTATACGCACCTATACCCTCGTTTACCCCTCGTGCCAAACGCAGATAAAGAGGTTTCACGCCAAAACCCTGCAGCTCTTCGATTATATGCGTGCGTCTCCAAGAGGGTGAATCGTGTGCGATATGCAAAAATAATGGGAGAAGAGTAATGATCAAAGAGAGAAAACGGACCTATCGAACAAAAAGAAGCAGACTCAAGAGGAATTTCGAGAAACGTTTCAACTGCAGATCTTCGATACAAGTCGCCAATGTCAAAGTCGCGCCAGGTGTACGCGCTTTTTTACACGTTACGTATGTATAATGTATGCCGAGCTGCTGCTGCGGGGGTGTAAAGATGCGGCAAAGTTATATTTATTATATAAATCAGACCGACGATGGGCAGCTCGAACTCGTTCGAATGTCTGTGTGTATATGTAAAAGAAAGAGAGAGAGAGAGAGAGAGAAAGAGACCGAGGGCGGAGAGGAGTGAGGCAAGTCTCGAGCGCGTCGGCGAATAATACTGACCGTGATTACCCGGGGCTTTCGATCCTCGGGTCAGATCTTGCTCTCGCGTATATGTATACATATAAGAGAGCTTCGCGCCGTCTACCTCTACACATGTACACACATGTGTGTATGTGTGTGCATAAGAATACTATGGGAAAATGCCAAGCGATCGGCTCACATCACACGAAATTCGCCGCCTCAAGTGTATTTTATAAAGAGACACGCACTCCCTTGTTTATACATATATAGAGAGAAAGATAATATATATTCCATGCGTGTAGGCGAGTATCGAGCTGCGATTCATTCGGTGCAGCAGCTTTTATATGCATATACGATGCGCTAGCTGTGCTCCATATTTTGGGTCAAAGGAATATTTTTTTTAAAAAGGACCCAATTACTTCTCATTCGCGGGGGGCCACGAATTGTAATTCAGAATTCCGTCGCATTCTGCGGAAAAAAGGGATTGAAACTCACTAATCGGTTTAGCTCTTATTCTGTTCTAACGCGCCTAAACTTTCTTTTATACTAACCAGCGCGAGCTCGTATACAAACGTTTCGAAACAATGTAATATTGCCGAGCGTCATTTTCGATCGTTTAACTGCGACTCGAATAATTGGATCGCGTATCGAATTCCTCTCGTTCGCATGAAATAAAATTATAATAAAAAGAAAAGGAATAAAAAATTATCACATTTTCGTCGTTCATTTTTATGTACGCGGTGTATAGGAAAAAGTATACGGTACATCGATTGGACTCTTATCTTTTATAGTTTTTAGTCTCGAATAACAAAACGCAAAGGACATGTCCTACGCGTATACGTGTATATGTAATGTACTCGGCCGAGATCTAACCATGGCATATTTATAGTATACTCGCGCTATACATGCGCTATACTATGTATATGCATGGATAAATTGGATCATTAATCAAGCTGGGCGAGTATAGTTGGTGTGCTTTTACAGCCTCGCAAATATATACACGCGTACGAGTGCACACGTTTATTTTACATTCATACGGGAGCCTGTATATGGCAGCGTAACGCGGAAGCTGCATCGCCGCAACAACAAAAAAAGAATTATTAACGCGGCTATATATGCACGTGTGCTAATCGACGAGATCTTGTTCTTTTTTTTCTCTCTCTCTCTCTCTCTCTCTCTGTCTTACGGTCCTCGATCCTTAAGCGCTGAATAGACAAGCGAACACAAGCATCGGCAGGTATATTATATACTGCTGCAGACGTAATGATACGCGTATTAATGAGTATGCAGAATATGCGCGCGATCGGCCTCGACGCGGATCTGCATCTTGTAACTGTTTGCTCGACGAGGAAACAAAAAAGAAAAAATATTTACTCTCCTTTCTTTTTTTTTTCTTTTTTTATCATCGATCGCGACTCCCGTATGTTTTGTTTATTCTAACGGTTTATCCGAGCACTCACGCACGCGCGTATAATATATATAAATAATAATATATATGGTATGTAATGGTCGATCGCGAACGAGCGACGCGCGCGCAATTATAATTATTCGAAATTTCCATGTGCCACTATGTTACACGTGTTGATGTATACGCGCCAAGGAAAGACGACGAGTTTCGATCTTTGATAGTTGCTTATATAAGCTTGACTTTAATTATCTCAACGGTTGGAAATGCTCTTCATTAATCAATACAATAATATTCATTTAAGCTATGACCGCTAGATGGCGAGTATCTTTATCTGTAAACCTGCAAGTGACAATGTTAAAATAATTATATAAGTATAATTACGGTTAATTCACTGTCAGCCAATGTATGCTCAGCTCACCCTTTTCGAAATAAGATATAAAGCAATTTCTACTAGGATTTGTACTTGTTAAACTTATAAGAGTTACATGTATTTTTTCTATGCACATGAGGCTGTATATATGTGTTCGAATGTGTTTGAATATTGTTAATGTTCCCAGGGAAAATGTGCCCTTTTACAAAAATTTACCGTACATCGTATTATTATAGAAGTTTGATCGATCGATGCCTATTGAGTACGAAAAATTCATTAATTAATTATTATTTTCCTATATATCTATACTGAAAAATCGTAAAAAAATTTCAATGAACATGACCTGCCTAGCTACATAAACGCCATAAACAGCACGTAAACGTGCTCTCGGTAGCGCGATACGATTTAATATTTAATAACAAAGTCCATAGGCAACATTAAAATATCAATTTACGAAAAAAAAAAAATCTATTCAAGAGGCGGGGGCGCGCGCGAGAACCACCGATCTCGATACGCGCCAAAGTGTCTCTAATAAGCGTGTGTAATACGTGCATACAACACTCGCCGATACATTATCAGATGATTTTGCAAACTTGCACGCTTCAAAGTTTTTCCTCGTTATTTACATTGTGTGCGAGGTTTTTTACTTTTCTTATAATATATCTATAAAGGTTACGAATCGATCGGTATGTAAAATGTATATTCGAGCGATCGTTTACACAAGGCCTCTAATTAAATTCTATTGTTACATGGAAGTTAGGATGGAGCCCCTACAATTTGTCACGATGTAGATTTCACAGACACGCAGGGATTTTCAGCGCACATTTTTTACTATGTATCATAATGCAGTATATAAAACTGACGCAGGCAAGGAAAAATGAACCTCATTACCCGCATACTGCATTATCGCAAGAAACAAAAAAACTAGTGGTCGCGGAACGACTCGACGGCCGCAGCTTCCTTGAAATATTTATAAATAAATGATTTCGAGTTGCGAACGATTCGCAGATCTACGTCGATTCCTCGCACACTCACACGTTTATGAATAATAGGTATAGTACTGGACACGGAGATACTTGGGCACTCGCGTGTATTTTCCTGCGTAATATGATAAATGCAACGATCGCACAAAACACACATAGGTATAACATGCGTTTTACCGCGGGGCTCTTTTTCTCTCTTGGCCGTTTCGCGGGTTAACGAGCTCCGAGCGCGGATCGCGTAGGTGTTTGCGGATTTAACGACTCTCTCCCTCTCTTCCTTCCTTTTTCATCTTATGATTATATTATATTATGCATACACGAGACGCTAAACGCATACGACGATTTCGAGTTGGCCCGAAAAATCGTTTGGGTACTAATACACGACGAATACGAACAATTATCGCGTCTTACGCTCGTCGAAAATTGCTACGAATTATAGTTACGGGGCAGCAGGCCACCTGAACGATGTCAATGATATACATACAAACGTATATATAATAGCTGTCCGATTTGAGTCTCAAGAAGATGCCACTATCTATATATAGGATACGAAGCAGATATAAAGCCTCGAGGCGTTTACCGCGAAAATCGAGGATTTGGTCGTGTGAAACTTCAATTTGTCTCTCTCTCTCTCTCTCTTTCTTTCCGTTTTACCGCGAAAAGAAAAATTATTCCTACATCGGGCCACGGCGCAATCGATTTTACTACTCTCTTGCGCAGCTTTCGCGAATTTTACTTTATTGCGTGTATATCGAGGAATCGTTTAGCCCCGCGTCTATACACAAATATATTCGCTCGTTTCCGTATACCCTGATCGCTTCGTGGGTGGCTCTCGACGAGAAATTACAATCGAATTTCCGAAAACGAGAGAGAATAATGACGATAAAAAAATTGTTATTATGTATCCGCATGTTCAATTTATACATAATAATAATACGAACTTTGTGAGAGTCTCGAGCGACGAGGTGTATATGGTGCCGCCTACGTCGATGTGCACGGGCGCCGTGTACCTCGAGGCCGCCGCCACGCAGGGTATGCCGGTGATCTGCTTCTGCTGCTGTTGCTGCTGCTGTTGCTGTTGTTGTTGCTGACTGTAGGCAGCCGCCGCAGCAGCGGCTGTCGCGGCTAGGGCGGCTGCGGCCGCGGACGGCGTGGGCGGCGTCGGCGACGACGAGTTCGACATCGTCGGCGAGGTGGCCGGCGAGATACTGGGCGACATCAATCTGCACAGGGATTAATTTGTTTGCATCGTTTTATTATAGCGTATAGTTTTGTCGTCGGGCTTTCGATTTCGGATACATTATGAGAAACGCGCTCGCGGGAGCTTTTCCTCTTGTAAACATTTGCCCCGACCCTCTTTACTATATGGCTATACGTACAATATATGATACATGTATGTATACGGGCTGACGGTGACCTACCTCATTTTAATTTGAGCGCTAGGGAACATATTGCGCTGCGTCGCAGCCGCCAGCTCTGCTTTTGCGTCCTTCACATCGGCATCACATTTCCGTCTGTAATCAAAGTTTATGTTTGGCCAATGTTAATAATGCTCGCCACACAAAACCATTTCGAATTCGTTACATACGAGTATTACATATTACATACATTTATTATTACAATTATTATATATGAAATCGTACGCGCACAAACACATGTAATAATATGCTGAGAGCGTATTTGGCCTGACAGATATTTTTCTTGTTCAAAGAACATGTAAATGCGTCGGTGTTGATTATTTGGAAAATTTACACTGGGCTATAGGGAAAGTTGCGTTCGAGTAAACGCGAAAATACGACGAAACGCTTCGATCTACCTTTGGTGTTTTATGTTTAAAAGTTGTCAGAAAGAAAATGAAAATACTTAAAAAATCGTCTGCGAGGGCTTTTGAGACGAGTGAGCTTATAGGATGGATGACCTTTTATGAGATAGTAGGAATTAACACGATAACTGTGAATAGTCTACACAATTTCTTTATGAGTTGATTGAAAAAATAGCGATATTGATTGAAATCATTCTCACTTTAGGGATGTTAGATGTTATACCATGATTCTGTTGTTAATATAGTTACATCGAGAGAAATTACGATATAAAGTTTATTTCTTATGTAATTGATTGTTTTTTAAACTTTAATTTTGTTTTTCAAGAAATTGATTTGTTATAGAGATTTTTATTGACTTTTTAATCATTTCAGTTATACAGAATACAAATTGAAATTAAATATTTTAGTTGAAATTTAAATATAAAGCTGAATGTATGTACTCATATATAAAACAAATAACATTAGTAACTCAAAGATTAAGAAAAATTACATAGTATTTAAACTATACTGCGCGCAAAATTTTAGCTTGTGACAATTGAAAACTTTAAAAATAGATAATAGTAACATTCAAGTCTTACACATAAATGATTTAAATGTGGATGATAAATCTTTGCTTAAATACTTGAAAACATAGCAATTAAGCCTTAAATATAACTGATTTACACATGGATAGTAAATCTTCATTTTTTAAATACTTGACAATATTAATGCAGCAAAGATCTGGTAAATTAGTTAGTCGATGCAAAAATTCTGGTGCCATGGTCAGAAAAAATCCTCGAATTAACCCTTTAGTTACATGGCCATCTATAATATCTGCCATAAACTTAAAATTGGATTTGTAAAGCTCTGCATTCATAACTGATTTATAATTAGATTCATTCAAAAGTTTAAAAACTTTTTCTGGTCTTGATGTACATAAATCCAAAAGTGATACACCATCGCTTATCATTGTTTTACTAGACTTCTTTATAAGAGGCCCAATATAGGTTTTATAGTGATTTACTGAATGATTATCTAAGATAAAATAATTCAATCTTCTCAAAGATTCTAAGAGAAAATTTTTTATATCTCTATCAATATACATCTGTCCAGCTTCTATGAATTCCATGTATCCTCGAATAAAATGGTAGTACATTGGTACACAATCATCAGTATGGAAAAACTTTTCATGTTTTTCTCGATAATGCTCTAAATTATGAGTACCAGTCCGAAGTTTGATATTTATTAAGCCAATGGTATGATGTATTGTCTGTAAAGAACCTGTAAAAAAAGTATAGTTAAGTATATACTTTTCAAGTATATAATTGATTTTCTCACCTGATGTGACTATGTCAAAGAGGTTTGAATTATTAACACATTCAAATCCAATCAAAAAATTGAAAATTGATACATAGTGATCTTCAGTAATTTTGTATCCTTTGCTTTTAAGAAGCTCAATAATAGCCAAGATACTTTGTGTCTTATATCTATTACGCAGTGCTCGAGAATCAGGATTTAAATATCCTTCATTGAATTGAATATTATGGATGTTGGCTCCATTTTCCACAAGTAGTTTTACTGCTTCGTAATTGAGAAGATTCACAGCTTTCTGTAATAGAGTTACGCCTTGCGAGTTCTTTTCATTCGCATCCGCTCCGTGTTTCAACAGCATATCAAGGGACTTGGCAATCATCTTATCGTACGCAGCTTCCTTGTTGGTATGTGTGTGTAAACATTGTCGAGATTGTAACGATGTAGCGTTATGAAAAAGGCTGAATACCGGACTCTCGCCGTCTCGACTTTTCTTATTTACGTCGCAATTATTCTTCATCAGAAGACGTAAAATTTTCAAATCGATCCTGATCGGGTGGTCGCTAGAAAAACTAAACTCATTCGAATCGTCGAGGATAGGATTAGCTATGTTGCGGCAAGCCACGTTCAAAGGAAAATAGCCATCCTCGGTGGTGATTTCAACGTCGGCGCCTCTTTTCAGTAAAAATTTAATCAGCGACGCGTGACGTCCCTCCAGAGCCAAGAGCAGAGGTGTGCGCGCGGCCGAATCGTGATAGTACTTGTCGCAACGAAGATTCACGTCGACGCCCTGATCGACGAATTTTCTCGCGACCTTGGCGTTGCCCGTGTAACAGGCTATGTGAAAATACGTCACGCCGTTCTCGTCGCCGTGGTTCTCGTCGCAGACGCCGTCGAAGAGATAGTCGGGAAAATCCGTCGAGCCGCACGTTCTCGCCGCGTGATGAATCCTCGTTGGTCCTCCATCTTCCATCAATCTTTCATCTTCCATCAGTGCTTGGGCCACGCAGTTGAAAAGATCCATGGCAATTTTTTCTTGCAATTCTTCTCGAATTTGTGCCATGATCTTGTCGTGGCTCCTTTGTTTTGAATGAGCCGACTTTTTTCTTCCAGACATGATTGACGCAAATTCGCACCGTTATGCACTTCTGTCACGGATTTATACGTTCGATGTTTCAATTTTACAAGAGGATTGAATATCGCAAATGGGTTGTATGCAGTTAATGATTTCGTACTTTTGAGTAGCAATACACTATTACACGATGAACCGTGCTCGTCTCCTTGGCAAACGAAACTGATTGAATGTTGAACAAAAGAAAACTACTTCTTCACATTACACACATGAGTGTTCGCATGTTTTAAGAATTGAAAAAAGCGATCGGTCAGACGCCCTCTGCCGGTTGAACTCGTCAAATGTTTACAGGGTGAAGTGCTAACCGTATTCACAAGTCTACATGTGAAGGAGGTATAAACTATAAAAGTATACCTTTTTGAAAGATGAAGTGAAAAGATGAAATGAAAAGGCGGTTTGTAACCGTCGCAGTAAAGTTCAGCCGAGTTGGTTCAGTCGATAAGCCTAATAATTTTTTCGAACGCCAAGTCGCGAGTTGTGTGCGCGTACTGATACGACGATGATAGTGACTGTATAGAATGGTGATGTTTTGCCGCGCAGCCAACGGCTATATAGCCAAAGAGCCAATATGCACAACTGCGACGTTGCTGCTGCTGCACTCTACTCGTGTCGTGTTTTCGACAAATCGTTTTTTGTTGAAAGTTGCTTTAAAAATGTTTTCTCTCGACGTAGTGCACGATCGTGTTGAACGGTGAAAAGTAATTTTGCCAAATTTCGAAAACTTCACGTCGTCTCGTTCTTGATGCTGCGCCGCAGACGAGGGTGAGCACGTTGAGAATCCACTTTTCTTATTTTCACGAAATCTCTATAAATACCAAGAGTTCAAGTACAATAATGCCGAACGACTTGAAAATTAAATACGTAATTCGATGGATTCGCACTCGGGCGCGCATCGAAAGTATTACAAAAAGAAGTATGTCAATAGGTCATATACGCAGCCGCATCGTATACAAAAGGGGGAAGAAAAACGCAGTGCATTGCAATCACGAGTGATCGCGACTCAAGAGAACATCATCGGAGGCGCGAAGAAGGATGCGGGTATCTGCATCGCGCTAAATCGACTTCCTGCCTTCGGAACGTTATAATACGCACTTTGGCGAAAAATAAAGCACGATGCATGATACACACGGAGTATATATGGCTGGGGCGCGTGCCAAACGACCGGTTTTGCACGGTATACTATACTACCATACTACCTACCTTGTAACGCAGAGGCAGCTTCGCGCGGAGGCGCGGCTCTCTCTCTCTCTCTCTCTCTCTCTTAGCGCATCATATATCCGCACGCGTGCACTATGTAACCGCATAACAGCGGCGGGGGATCATCGCGCAGCGGGGGCTGCAAAATTTATCGGTGTATATACGTGTGCTTTGCAGCAGAAGAAGAAGAAGCGAGAGGAAGGCACACACGATCGGTGGCGCGCGTTTATCCCATCATCGTCGCTATTAACTCGTTAATGCTTGCGAGTTTCAATTATAACGTGTTTCGCGCCGCTTATACTGCTACTGCGTATACCTTACATCTAGGTATCCTATCGGTACATTCGACCCTTCATATATTTACAAGTTGAGATATAGGTATAGTGTTTCTATGCAGAAACAGTAACTAATTTTTGATTCGACGAAAAATCTGCCCTCTCCCTTTATCGAGCGTATATCAGAATTAGTTTTCTACGAGTAGATTTTTCATGTAACCCAAGACATCGCTTTAAAATAAAGATAAAATGCATAAGTAAATGACATAAGTTCAATCATTTTGTTTATAAAATTTATTTATTCGAGCGGTACGAAAACAAATCGACAACTTTCAACAACATCACGAGTTTTGTCGGACTCCAGCGACCGCCAAGCCGATGTTGCGCAAATCCTCGTTCGACAGCTTCTCGACGATGGGCTCGCAGCAGTCGATCGTCAGTCTGCCGCCTATCAATTCCCACAGGCGATCTCGCGCCCATCGGCGCAAAAATCTCCGCGATATTATCTCGCAGAGTCGCGCGACGCAGGCCTCTCTGGCTCCTCGCGCGAGCCACCCCAGCTCGTTGGCGCACACGAACCTGAAGTAGTCCTTGTACGCGACTCGACTGCTCGCCTCGTCCAGCGGCAAACGGACAAAGTCCAGGAGCGACAGCCGGCCGCCGCCTGGCACCTCGATCATCGTTATCCCTCTGGCCGCTGCGGCGAACTCGTCGTCCTCGTGCCAAGCTCGCTCGAGATCGACCGCCACCGGGGGCTTCTCGTACACTCGATGCTCGGCGAAAAATTGCAGAATCGTCCAGCAGTCGTCTCGCTCCATTTGATATCTTCGGGCACGTAAATGCTCGACGCAGGCCAGCGAGCAGGACGCGATTATCAGTTTGTGATTGTGTCGCCACTCGTCGCGCCACGGCTTCAGCGTCTTTCCGAAGTAATCCTTGGTGGGAAACACGAAATTCGCCAGATCGGCTCCGTTGTCCAGTAAGGCCTCGACCACGTGCGGGAAGAGATTCGCCACGGCCCATTGCAGCGGCGTCCTGCCCTCATTGTCCTCGACGTCGACTCGCACCTCTCGCCGTACGGCCCGCGCGATCCTGAGGAACGACTCGGCCGAGCCGTGATCGTAGTCCGCCTTGCAGCAGACGTGCAGCGGAGTCTCTCCGTCGTTGTTGGCCAAATTGGGATCGGCGCCCCACAGCACCAGCGCCTCGACGCCGTCCTTGTTGTCGTTGGCCAGGGCCAGGTGCAGCGGCGTGTCACCCGACTCGTCCCGGGCGTCGATCAGCACCGGCTCGTCGAGCCTCTCGCAGCACCTCAAGAACGCGTCGATCAAGTCGTCGCAGTCCTCGCTTCTCGCGCAAATGACGTGCAGAGGCGTCGTGCCTGCCTTATTGGCCAAACGCGGATCGGCGCCGCGCCTCAGCAGCAATCGAGCCACCTCTTTTTTGCCCGCGGCCAGTGCCACATGCAGCGGCGCGTCGCCCGTTACCCGCGCGAGGACATTCGCGTCCTGTCCGTGGTCCAAAAATTTCTCGACGATGTCGACCAGGCCGAGCTTGCAGGCCGCGTGGAAGTGCGTGCAACCGAACTCGTCGCTGTGGTTGTACACGGTGCCGTATATCCTGAAGAGCATTCGAGCCGTGAAATCGTGGCTGCCGTAATCGGACTCGCGAGCGAGTCTGGCCAAGAGATGCAGCGGTGTGGCACGATCGTGGCCATCGTCGTCGTCGTCGTCTCGCCGCTGGACGCTGTAGCCGCTCCAAGCCACGAGCCTGATGAACGTGTCCCTCAAGCTGCCGGATTCGCTCTTCTCCGTGGCGGCGTCCGCGAGAAGACGTTCGATCTCTCCGGGTCGGAAAACAGCGCAAAGAGTCGCCAGTCGGTCCTTGCAGTCTTTGAACGTGCGGCAAAAGTCGGCGATGAATTTCAGTCGCTCGGCTTTGTTCTCCCAGTCGACTGTCTCTCGCAAGATCGTCAACCTTCTTATTCTGTCTTCCTCGTTGGCCATGGCTGCGTGGATCGTACGCACGATTACACTTATTACACTTAAACGCACGGACACGCTTACGAGTGCAACAAAACTGTGTGTTTTTTTTTATATTTTTTTCATTCACAAAAAATCACTCGCAGCAGTTGGCTACGCGACCTTATTCGGTTGTGTTTACGCCGCGGCTTCGTAACTAGCACTAACTATACATTTACGCCAATACGTGTATATGGAAAGTATAAAAATACGTAGACGTATAGCTGCTCTGCTGTCGCGTTTGAGACCGAGAGATTTGGATATTACGCGAACGCGCATGCGAAAGCAATCTTTAAAGTGAGAGTAAGAGAGAGAGAGAGAGAGAAAGAGAGAGAGAATAGATCTATATACGTGAGTCATGCTGCTGTCACGTGTGGGGGTCCATCACTTTTTTCGCGATTTATCTGTTGCTGGTATTTTTTTTTTTTTTTTTTGTATCGCCAAATCTGATCATTTTTACATTTTTTTGTGTAAAATTTTCTGCTGAATCTAATAAACGGGCCGAAACATGTCGTGATTAATATTTTTTTATCTATAGATATTGTTGTTAATTGGACTAATCGAAACAAAAAGAGACTCACGACGTGTTTTTCTAAAGTTGATATAGATTTTGAGTTATTTAACATTTTGTGTTGAAGACAAGCTGAAACTTTGAAATCGAGCCTTTTTATCATTATTTTTCAATATAAAAAGTCAAACGTAATTAAATTTATCACTTTCGAGAGTAATGACAAGAGACACCTGTTTAAAATAGTTCAATTAATTAACATTACTAATAAAGTTTTTTACTCAAAGAATAAAGACCAAAATGGGTTTCTCATTTTATTTCCTGGTGTGAAAATGAACATTCCCTATTTCCCTATTTCAACGAAGTAATTAATTATAATACCCGAGAAAAGAGAAATATAAAAAACTACACACGTTCCAAGCGCGTAGCAAAGATAAAGAAAAGAAAAGGTCGATATCAGCGCGTTCAACTTTCCATTCGTCGGAACGATCAGTGTCCTGCTAGCCCCGAAGCAGTCAATTATCCGTGTAGTTACACGCGAATTCTTCGCATTATTATATCCTCGCGTCCTCCCACTCGCACCACCCCCGCGCGCCCATACCTATATTATATATAGCGAGGTACGATCCGCGCCCACGCTCGAGCGCGAAACAATGTAGCATTATTGATGATAAATAAATAAAAATAAAAATTACGTATTTACGGCAATAGTCGAACGTAATACGGCCTACATTCGACATTCGGCGTTGAAAACGAATGCAGGCCGCCGCTGCGTCGGTGGCGAATCGTGACAGTCATCGTAACCACGGTGTACACATATATAAATGTGTATATAATATCGCGAACGCGCAGCGCGCTCGGGGTATATACCTATCGTATCGTAAAAAGATCGCCTCGAGCTACAGCATATATATAAGTGTATGCACGTAGTACTGGAACAAGAGTAATAGCGAGTTGCGGAGCGCACGTATAGCGATATACAAGCGACGAGCTCGTCGCGGAAATGAAATATTTACGGGGCGAATTTCGCTGCGGCTCGAGCTGCTGCTGTCGGTTGAATAATTTCGGTTTCGGGATGGACTGTATACATATAATATAAACTCGCTCTCTCTCTCTTGCCGTTAACCTTTGAGCGATTTATATATACATTATATACATTTAAATGTATAAAAAAAATATATATATATACGTGTTTATGCCGAATGTTGCAGCGCACACGAATACGCGCACACACACACGCATACAGCTGCGAGAGTATCGCGGCGGCAGCGTCGAGGAGCGGCAGCAGCTCTGCTCTGCCAGGCAAGAGCCCCGAGGCGTTCGGTTCTAATTACGGCGCAGCAGAACGTACCTATACGTATAGCTCGGAGTCGCCCTCGGGCCAGGAAAGACCTCGGGGCGAGCTATATAGCCTCCTATATTTCCCCGCGTCGTCGTATATATACCACTACTCTCTTTCTCGATGTTTCCTCTGATGTGTGCTGTGTACGTGTGTGTGTGTGTGCGAGAGCCGCGAGCGGGTTGTGTGCTGCTATATATATGTAGATGCTGCTTCAGGATAGGGGTTTGAATTTCTTTGCACAGCCGGCAGCAAGGTGTATTACAAATTTTTTTCCTTCTTTATCTTTATTTTTTTAACATTCAAAAGGGCGTGGTTAGTTTCTTCTTTCTCTCTCTCTCAATTTTTTTTATACTTATTGTAATACGCTTCGTGACTTTTCACGACTAAAAATTTTACAAGTTTACTTTGGTCGATTTTTTCATGTTCATCGCAGTAAAGGTTTAAATGAAATTGGATTCTAAAAATTGCCCTCGTCAAGTTGGTCATCGTACATAAATAATACGAGTTACCCAATCCATCTACAAATATTGCATCGACAAATATCCATCCCGAAACTCTCGTTCGAACTGAGATTAAAACGATTAACCGACTAATATACACGAGATAATCTCAAAATGTTACAAATAAAAATACAAGATATATGGGTATATTGGAGCAGCTTACCGCTTGTGGCACGTGGATGACTCCAGGATGACGGCCGTGCGTGCGTCTACGTCCTGCAGTCGAGTACAAGCAGCTGATCCAAGAGCAGCTGCGACGCCTCCTCCGCGAGCCTCGAACCTAACTCCCCATGCGGATGCCAGATTAGCAGCGCGCGAAATTTTCCCGGTCACTGTATATTTGTGTGTAAATCGCGTACGCACGCAATTTGAAACTTATTTTGTTGGCGCTTTTTACGTGTATATACGAACGTATGTCGGGCGCGCACAATTGCAGCGGCAACTCGACGCACGATCTTTTTCGTCGATTTCTCTCCGTATAACGGCGACGACGATAAGCCGATTTTTTCAGAGAGACACGTGAAAAATCGTCGCTGCCTCTCTTTGATATACTTTATATAGGTCAACAAGGGTGAGGCACTTGATATTTTTCGCCGAACGTAAATAATACCTAACACGATACTCCACAAGATTTACTTTGTCGTTGTTGTTGTTGTTGTTGATGTCGTTGCAAAAATCGACGCACAAACTCAGCGTTATCGGGTGTGTGTGTGTGTGTGCTGCGCGCGCGACAACGTACGGCGTTGAACTGGCGCCTCGCGTGCTCCTCCGCTATCACACGTCCCGCTGTTCGTGCGCGCGCGCCGCAGAGAGCGACTTTTTTGCCGAACGCCGCATCTCGCGGTACAACAATAATAATAATGATGATGATACTGCAGTCGCGAGCTGGTGGTGGTGGTTTGCAGCAGCGCGCGAAGGGCGCAAGCGCGAGATATCGCGTTATAAACTTTTTCTGCACTGTGGACTCGATCCCCACCACTTATACCGCATATACCTGTGCACTTCCATCGCGCCTATATGGCAGCACATGGGCAGCCGCAGCGTCGAGTCGATGCGCGCGTGTGTGTGTGTATGCACAAGCTCCGAATTACCGTGATTATCGTTGTTACTACGCGGGGAGGCGCTCGCTGCTATGTATTACACGCAGCCTCGCGATATCCACTGCCGTACGTAGGTGTGTGTGCACGATATTAAAGTACATATTAATGTGCGTGAAGGGGAGGAGCTTTGAACCTATACGTAGTGTTAAATACATGTGCAGCGGGGCCACGTGGGCACTCCGCTCAACTTATACAGTAGCTGCGTCGCTTTATATAGCTCGACGATCGCTTCGTTTTCTTCATTTTCTCTCTCTTTCTCTTTTTTTCTCGCTGTTGTGAGCTGAAAACCATCTTTACTCGATGAGAGGTATACGCGATTTATTATTGGCAGATCAATATAGATCGGCTGCGGCATCGTCTCGATCTCTTCGTCGTATAATTGGTGCTCGTTATACGTTCGGCGCAGCTGCAATTGTACATCGGTATGATCCGAACGCACAAGCAGTGGCCGATCGCATACGATAAATATTATAATAGTCTTCTTGACGATCGAAAAACATTTCCAGGCCTTTTCCGACGCGCAAAATAACGAAACGAGTAAAAAAAATTCATCGTCTTTGTTTTCCGATCGAACGAAGCTTACATAAGCCGAATCACCGTAAGCATATATACGAACCGCTAGGATAACTCATCTCTTCGTGCGGCGCGTATTTTTCCCCGTACCTATATATATATTTATATAATTCGTGATCTATCGGTATATAACGCGTGCATACACGCGCGGCAAAAAGCCATGGGAAAACGATCGAGGCGATCGTATATATAGAGGCTTGCGGAATTGTTTGGCGAGTGGAAGATCTCATCGACGTATATATAATACGGACACGCGCGATGGGTATGTAACGGCGAGGCGCCCCAATGAAAATCTGCATTCGATGCTAGTGATGGTTGCGGTCGACTTTTTGCAATCGTTCGATTCGACGTTGACATAGTGTTTAATAGACTGACAATATATTTTTTTTTTTCGAAATCCACGGGACGCCCCCTCAACAGTTTCAGGAGGCATTTTTATGCACTAATTAGAACAATCAGTCGGTCTGATATAAGCAATCAATGCCACCGCGTAATCAATTCGAATGGGATGAAGAAGAGATGGATCGATGCGAGTTGCAGCATTGCGAGCTGGAGGAACCTCAATTATTCAGCCGAGCGCAAACCTTTTCATACACATATACATGTATATAGCGTACATATAGAAGATAGACGTATGTAATGCCGTCCCTCGCGTTCTCTGCCATTCAGACAACTTGGAATAGATGGAAGATTTTTTTCATCCTCTACCACTAGATGGCGAAGTATCTATATCAATCAATCTGCAAGTGGCAAAGTGAAAATAATACTATAAGTCATAGCCCTGTTGGGTAAACAGTATAGTTATATACACAATAGACGGGACGCCCCCTCAAAAGTTTCAAACCCCCAAAAAAATGACCTCTACCAAGTTTCAGCTCATATGGTGAGAAAAACCCCGTGCCACAAGACGGGTGTAGACTTAAATTAAATGAACTAAAAATCGAGAAAAGTGCATTTGTTTCTTCAAAAAACGGCTCAGCAAGATCACCTATTGAAAAAATGTCAATGCACTGTTTGATAGGTTTCTTTTTCATCTTTCCAACGCCGTAATTTTGTCGAGATACAGCTGTTTTTGTAGGATGCGTTTTTGCAGCGGAAAATTCAGTAATTCGGCTCCGGGTTCTGGAAAAATCACATTTTCGCCTTTGTAGCTTTTCTATGAATAGCAATCAAAAAAAAGTTCAAATAAAAGTTGTAGCTATTAATTAGACCTTTAATTTGAGCCCAACCACGATCAATTACGTTAATTATTTACCGAGAAAAGTGTAAAAAACCCTCTAAAATCGTTTTCGAGAAATAGTCATTTGTTTATAAAAACACTCCCTCGGCCCTAGGCGATATCTCGATTTTTAGCAACAATAGCGAGTCCGTTCGACGCGCAAATGAAAGTTTAAGACTTGTACTTATACGTAGTAAAAACTTTTAGACGGAAAATCGATAAAACATACGTTAAACAATGCGATGAAAATGTGGTACTTTTTAAGTTATAAACAAATAGACCCAGAGGGTCAATTATAACACATAGCCGGAAATTTTTTTTTTGTTCAATAGCTGGCATTGAAACGCAGATTAAAAAAAAAAGTTGCCTAAGTGCTTTTTTAAAGGAAATAGGTTTTTTTTCAAAAAATCATTGCATCGTTGTTATTAACAATTAATAAATAAAACCAACGCGGTTACATTCTCAAATACTTATATTATACAAAGACATGAAGATAATTTTAATTTCTCGAAATCTTTTTAACAATAAAACGGTACAAAGTCGAAGCTGCAATTGCTACTTTGCCGAGTGGTGGGGGTGGCCTCTCGCTCGCTGGCGTCCCGACTCTCGAGTCCGAGCGTTCAGATCTAATTGAAAAAAATAAAAAATCGACGTATCTCGGTCAATTCTCAACCGATTGAGACGTTTTTTTTTAATTTGGGGTGCCGTCAAAAATTATAACGAATGGTATCGTTTGTTTTTAATTTTATCGTAGTTATCACCTATATAAATGTATAATTATTCGTGAAATTCAAAATTGAACAGTACATCAGGGTTTATAATGAATATGAAATCATAATAATTATCACAAAATTGAATGAATTTATTATAATAAATTTTTAAATAAGAAAACATTTGAGTTACAAAAATAATGTTAAAAGTCACATATATTTTTTAAATTATACATCGTATTAGTAAAAATAAACTAAGCAGTTTTTTTCTTTTTTGGGCAAGGTTCGTCTTACTCGTCCAATAAATCGTCCATAGGCAAAAGATCAACATCATTATCATCAATCTCATTTACCATAATTGTGCTGCTATTTTCGCAATTCTCACCGTGGCAAAATCCACATAAATTGGTTCACATCGGCACGTAATGTTTCTCAGTACATCATCTGGTATTAATTGATTTGAAGTATATTTTGGTCGAACCATGTCATCTTTGGTATTCGAATCAAATGCTATTTCTCGTCCAGTATTCGTGGCCTGACGGAGCAGTCTTTCTGAAGCTTTTGTATTTTCGGTATCATAACCATCAAAGATTAATATACTGTTACGAGTATAATTTTTTCTCACATAGGTCACATACTTCTCTACAATTTCTGTAATGGACATTTCGCTTTACCAAAGATTTTTTTGTATAAAATAACCTCCATCTATCACGTAAATATCTGTATCGTTGAATGAAATTGGATCGATTTGTTGGAAATGGTCGCACAAGACGCTTTTCTTGGTTTTTCTCATGCCAGCTTCGTCAAAAAGAGTCATAGGAAACGGTGCCAGCTCGTATTGTAAATAATCTTTCATGTCGTTTTTTTCTTTTATATTTAAACAGATTCTCTGGAAAATTAAAAGAGGTTGTATCGGTTCGCTAGTGTTATCAATTTTAATTTTACTATTCATCGAATTTAGCGCCAGTACTTTATTTTTTCTTTGAAATTTGACTTCATTATATGATTTATCATACATATCACTCATAACGCCGACTCCAACTTCATAACCTTCTTGACAGTTAACTTCATCATTGCCGACGAGACCAGAATATATTGAATAGTATATTTTGTAACAAGTGCGCGAAGCAGTTGACTCATCCAGGAGTTGTTTTCACCCGAGCGTAGCGAGGGTGCAAAGACTCCTGGATGAGTCAACTTCCTCGCGGACTAGTTGCAAACGATATTTTTTAACTCTGCTTGCGAGAAACTAGGGTTTTCTGATGCTTTAAGGTTAGAAAACCCGTGTTTCGCGCACGCAGTGTTAAAAAATATTTTTTCAGAGCGGACAAACGGATTATGTCCTTTATAAAAGTCAACTAACTTTTTCAAATCTTCGGCATCTCTGGAAATTCGACTCACGCGACTATCGATGTGTTGACCGCTACTGTCGTATTTCACAGAGCAAAAATTCTCCACTTCGTTGCACATATCGAGTAGCACTACTGAGCATCCAATCCAAGTGGCGACTGTACTCTCAGTGATGCATCTTCCTCGAGTCAAGCCTCCAACACATTTGAGGGCACACATTAACACCTCCTCTATGGCCATATCAGACCATATACCACACCAAAATTTGTCACTCCTTCTAATCGTGAAATATTCTTTGTTCGTAAATTGGTCGTGATCGTGGGGTGACAAAATTAATTTTAATTCTTCCATGTCTTGCAAGTACACCGTATAAATATACTGTGCGAACCACTGTGAATGAGTCTGTATTCCTGAATCATTATCACCCTGGCTCGCTCGTATTTTTTTTTCACGGATTAAAACTCCTCGCATACGCACCCAAACCGCTTATACCAAGTGGAGTTTCACTTCGAAATCCAGCAGTGCGCGGCGAGATATACGCGAGAATTTTGTTGGCATAAAAAATTGAGTGCGAGAAAGGGGCAAAAGGAAACGGTACGCCCTAAAATATGCGAATCGCCGATGGGTATATTCGTTTGTAATGGCTCGTCTCTCTCTTTCTCTCTCTCTCTTCTTATGCAGAGACTTAGCGTCAAGGCTCGTTATATCGCATGCTTTCTGCGCGGC